TCTCGGACTAACGTTTTCAGCTGACATTAAAGAGAAACATTATATTGAATCAATTGCTAAGTTTGAAGTTATGAAAATTGGTTCATTGTATCATGCTAGACAATTTTTATCACTAGAATCTATCTTACATATTTATGACTCTACAATTCGTCTTTGCTTTGAATATTACTGCTACATATGGTTTGGTGCTCCTCCTATATATTTAGAGATTCTTTATAAAATCCAAAGAAGAATCTACAATGTTATTAGTCTTAACTTGGCATCTCGACATCGTTTACTTTCCCACCTCCGTAATATAGCTTCCCTGTGTCATTTCTATAAATACTTTCATAGTAATTGTTCTCATGAACTTTCCTCTATGATACTTACACTTTATGAATTTAAGCACAGTGTTAGATTGGCAGCAAGGTCTCATCATTTTACAGTTGAAATTAATAAATGTAACCGTAAGTTCTGTGTTAAAGGTTTCTTCTAATGCACTTCTAGCTTGTGGAACTCTGTTCAGGCTTCTTGCTTCCCAGCTAACTTTGATCTTCAAAAATTTAAATTCAAGGTCAATCGTTATCTTCTGTCTTCATAATTTTTGTTCTTTTATTGTCCTCCCTCCTTAATAGTATATTTCTCTCATATTCTCTAACACTCACTAACGCACTTTCGTCTTAATGGCTTTATTGCCTTGCTTGGAGGGAAATAATTAAAAAGTACAACGTTCATCTGTAAAACGTTTCTGGAAACAAACGCAAAATGCAATGTATTTTGTATTAAAACTCATTCACTGAACCCTTCGTATTTCCTTCCTGTTCTCTTCGTATTTCGCCAGATAATTCAAAACAAGTATATATATATATATATATATATATATATATATATATATATATATATATATATATCTTCATTCAAGCATGTTTCCTTAAATGATATAAACATATTGTGTCAATTTATTTTAATAATAATCCTTTTTAGTTCCATAATTATCTTTTTGATGTTAAGCTGAAATTCATCAAAGAAGGTGTCGTAGTTCTTGTTAAACCAAGTACTTTCGATCTCCTCCGATCGTAATTTTTGTAAAGACGCGTGAACGCGCTCTGTTAAAATTCTGTCGATGATTTTTTTTTTTTTTTTTTTTTTCAATTTCTTCTTATAAACATAGTTTTCGCCCGACAAGCAGTCGACAAACCACAGGAAAGTTTCCTAGCGACTTCTCTTCCTACCTCGACTCGGACTTTTAATCGGACTCGCTACTTGATACATTGTCTTTGATTCATATATGGCACGCAGACGTAGTAATCAAAAACAAGAACACGCGCGAATATTTTGCAGAAAAAATGAACGGCTCGATTTGAATGTGTGTGTACTTGACGACTATAACATTTTTAATAACTTAATAACCGTACATGTTTAAAAGCAGACACTTTGCAGATTAATAATTTGATATATGTTTTAAATGCTGTGTAAATTCTATCTTTCTCCATAAAATATAAGTGATATTGTATCTTATTAACAATTTTCAATAAAATGAGGTTTGTTTGAAACTGACTAATTAATAGAATATGTTTTAATAACATCTCTATTATAATTTGAATCTGTTTAATTTGTTCATTTTACTAAGTTTTAATTTATATAAGTTTTTAAAGTTTTTCTTCACAAACATTACAAGATGTTGGCATACACCTCCCAAATTGTTTCATTGCGTGTCTAACAATTTGTGGTTGTGTTGCATTTTTTGAGCGAAAGGCTGAGTGATCAATGTTTTAATGCAGTGTTTCTCAACCGTCGTACCGCGGCACACTAGCGTGCCGCGCGATTCTCTTAAGTGTGCCGCAAAATATTGAAGAAATCGCAGCAAAACACCAAGCACTGGTTTCACACTAAATAAGCCGCACAAATAGTTGAATAGAAACATTGAAATAAAGTAAGTTCATATTTGTGTTTGTATTTTTTTAAAAATCCATGGTTATATTTCATGATATTTAAATGTATACCTGATGTAATGGAATAACTTGTTACCCTCATGAGTGACTACACTATAGGTAGTAACTACCTATAAGTAGCTGTAAGTCAACGGACTACGGAAACTAGCTGGGATCTTTTCCAGCTGTGCTGGTCGAACTCACTGCCCGGAGGCATAGAGGATCCCCAGACGAGGCTATGTCAAAGGGCAGAGTCTCGTCTCGGGAAACAGCTACCCGACCTCGTTTTATACGGGATCTACGGGAAATTTTGGCCGAGCTTACGGCCTCGGATTACCCCACATTAAACTCAGCCTTGTGTCACATTCTACCTCGCGAGGAGGCTGGTAAATATCGACTAACTGAAATCTGTTACTCAACCCTTAGCTGTTGAACTCTCTGCCTTTGGGCAGAGAGGGACCCGGACGGTGTTGACGGTGAATTCTTAGCCGGGCCTACGAGCTCAGATTGCCCCACATTAAATTCGGCCTTGTGCCACATTCTACCCCGTTGGGAGGTTGGCAAATATTACTAGCTGGGATCTGTTGAGTACGACTCAAACTTACGAGAGAACTACCAACAGTTCCAATAGTAGCACTCACTACTGGATTGACTTGCGTCGACCTTGTGCATAACTGTTACCTTTATTTTTATTGTACTGGTTTTTTTTTTTTACAATAAACCTTTACTTATTTAATACACCTTGTTTCTCATGTATATATTCCTATTAGCACGGAATATAACAACGCCTTTTAAAAATTTTGCTACTAGGTGTGACATTGCTTAAAAAGGTTTAGAAACACTGATCTAATTGAATGTAATTGTATTTTATTTTTTAAAGAATACAGTTGATAACGTAAATTATTTATGACAAACTATTTTTTTAATCATTTCACATCTTACGAGGCAATAAAGCGACTAAGATGCACTGGGTGTGAAAGAATACATGAAAAAGAAAGCATTATTAAGGACTGATAACAACAAAAGAACAGGAACTAAGAAGACAGAAGATAACGATTAACATGGCATGAATAAGTATTGAACTTTTTTTTCAAATAATTCAAATGATAAGATGACGCTCAACTGAAGAAGAAATGAGGCCCTGCTTATCACACATTCGACCAAACATTGAAGAAATCACAAAAAATATATACCCTTTAAAAAATTTGCTAAGTGTGCCGTGGTATTTTCATTTGTTCCTAGGTGTGCCGTTGCTTAAAAAGGTTGAGAAACACTTTAGTGAAAGATTTATTACAAGCAGATAAAAGAGATTCTTTTTAATTCTAAAAGTAATTTTTTTTTTAAATACTTTTAAAAATTTTCTAGCAAAGTAAAATAATTTCTTTCGTTTATCTCAAAACGAAGTCGTTTATTTACATATTTATTGATTTATTTTTCAGTGTCTTTGTTGGGGTCGCTTCATTCTCTAACCTGTGTGCTTTCATAACGGTTTCGCATTTTTGGTGCCACCTCCTAACCGACAGGCAACAAACCCGTACGTAAGTTCCAAGTGTAAAACTTTCCTCAGTGTAACTCTCTTAGAAAAAAGTATTAAAAAAAAAACAATACAGAAAGGGCCGTAACTCTGTATTACCCAAATGGGGTTAATATCTATCATTCGTAATACAGTTTTTACTGTTATGAAAATGTTCAGATGAACTCCATTCTTTAATCCCACCACTTCAGATTTTTACAGCGAGGAGACGACATGCTAATTACACAGAGACGAAATATTCTCTTTTATTCCATGTTCCAAATGTAAAAAAATAATTAAATAAAAAAAAAATTCCATTCAGACAGCAGCCTCTCCCCCAAGAAGTGACACTTTGTGGAACAGACTGTCTCGTGGACGCTTCTTTAAACACTTAACCTATTCAAATCACGGATCACTTGTTACCTGCCATACTTATCTTCATAATCTCCACTTCCTACAATCTTCTCTTTCATCGATGGTACACGGCCTCTTTCATTATTACCATTTAACAGTGACCCTCTTCCTTGAGTGGCTCTCGAATCTTAGTATAAAAACGAAAAAAAAAACTTTTCTATATCTTCTAAACGGAAGACGGATTGCTCTACATAATCTTTAATCAAGTCTACAACTCTATTGTTTTTCTCGCCACTATCTTGTTAATTTGTCTTCAAGACGTTTCGGCGAGCTTACTTTCCAGTTTTCATCTTTATTGTACTCATCAAATTTTATAAATTCGACATACAAATATCTTCCATTCAAATAATCCAAAAATGTCGGGACAAAATAGCCACTGGATATTTACAAGGTTCTTATTATTCATAACAACAAATCCGACAATGATATTAGTGATTATGATGATGTTTATCCGGCCTGTCATTAACAATAACGATAGCATCATATGGCGGGCAACGGTGGCCACAGGTAACGCCACAGATGCTGGAACCAATGGTCAAATCTACCTTACATTTAAAGGCACAGTAAACAGCTCAAACATCCATATGTGGTCAATGAACGGTGTCCTTTTCCAGAGGGGCCAGGTTGATGTGTTTACGATATATACTGACTATATCGGAAAACTGGTTGAACTGACTATCATCCACAGTGAATTCTCTTCGACAAATACCTATTTAAAGTGGCAGCTCGACTACTTCTTGTTGTTAGATTTAAACACGTCAACCGAGTACGGTTTCCACTATGGCAACTACATTCCCGAAAATGGAAACAGTTATGGGTTAGTGACTCTTCAACCTGACACGGTGCGTCATTTAGCCAACAGAACAAATGTCTCATCATCAGTGGACCCTTTGGTATTTTCGACTCAAAGTTTGCTCAGTTTTGATTCGACGACCATTTATTCAATGGATTCCAGCTCAGTTTTTAGCGACATCGATACTACTATATTTGTCTCGGAAAACAGTATGATTGGATTAACTTCTACGATGCAAACAGCATCCAATGTGTTTGCCTCCATATTAACACCTGATTCAACCCTATTATCCACTCCGTCAACTCTTTTGCCCAGCCCTAAAGCGTTCTACTCACTTTTGGAGTCATCTCCCACGAAAGATGCTTCAGCGATGGATATTCTTTTCCCAACCAGTGAGGTTTCGTTTACCATAGACGCCAAGGCGTTAATCACTGCTACATCTTTACCCGATTCGGTTACTCTCGCATTTACGGGTATTCTTGAAAACGGGGGGCGTTTTTCACCAGATTCAACGTTGTGCACCACACCTATCGTCTCTTCCTGTGCGTGTCTTACAACTGAAATGGCGTCCGCGGGAGGTGATCTGTCATCAAGGATGGTCAGCGTCTCACGAGAACTCACTGTCGACAAGAAGCAGTTGAGCGTCTACAAACGGAAAAGGTCAAGCGCTCCAGACGATCGCAACTCAGCCAAAGCGATTGGATTCGTGGCTCTTTTAGTGCTTGCCTTTCCGGTTGCTTACATCATTCTGACTGATCTCAGCAATTATAGGAAATTCCTACCCGGGAATGAACTAAAAAGAATATCGACGAAGGAAAAACAGATTGAAAACGTCTGAAAGACTGTACATCTTGTTGCACATGCGCTTTATACGCCTTGGCCATCAGCCGAACAGAAGTGGCATGATTGTAACATGACAGTAGCAATTAGTCTTCAACAACTAACCTATGGTGTTAAATGGTTAAATAGTATGCAATTCTCATCCACACACACACACACACAAATGAGACTGAAGAATTTTGAGTCCTGGTTACTTGCCAATACATTATCCCTGGACATTTTTTAATTGTTTTTATAACTGAATAAACCAGTAGCGAAGAGAAGCGAATGGCCAGTACAAAGTTGCTCATATGAACAGCCTTATTCGATTTATGTGAGGCTGTATAACCCTGAGAAATGATCATTTGTCAATGCACTATTCCTGGACACTTTGGGCTATTTTCATTATTTCAGAACAAATCTGCAGTGAAGAACAGCAAATGGCCTGTACAAAGTTGCTCATATGAATCGTTTTACTCGAATGTGAGGCTGTCTAACCCGGAGATCTGACTACTTGCCAATACAATATTTTTATACATTTTGGGTAAATTTCTATATTTCAGAACTGCTTCTGGAACTGAATAAACAGGGAGTGAAGAGCAGTAAATGGCCAGTACAAAGTTGCTCATATGAACTGCCTTATTTTACTTACATACCAGACTGTGTAATTCTTTATTGTATAATGGTTATGTTTAGCAAGAAGATCTGTTTTATACTAATACAACATCCACGGAGACAGTGAGGGGTGTTTTAATCTCACCCCTCCCCGTCCTACTTTTTACTGAAACTGAGAACTAAACAGAATACTAAATTTGTTTTGTTGGTCTTTATGTGGGCTTACGGCCATATCACGTTGAAACACCGGTTCCTGTACAATCACCGCAGTTAAGCAACGTCGAGCCTGGTCAGTAGATGGGTGACCGCTTTGGAATACCAGATGTTGTAAGCTTGGATGGTGTAATGGATAATGGATCAGAATTGTTAATCGGAGATCCGAGTTCCAATTTCAGTTGGGTTCATTATATTCACTTACGCGCAAATACCCTTGGGGAAAAGTATGAATCCCCTTCCCACCACCACATAGCTATGCATTAATTAGTAAGACTCGTATCAATAAATCATTCAGATTCCCAAGAGGACGTTTCCCAATCACTACAATCTTAACCTGTTCAAGTCTAGAGTCACCCGTAATCCGTTTAAACTACCCCTTATCGTACCCATCTTCCGCAGGACAGGGTGAACTTTACTATAAAAAAAAAGGAGTCTAAAAAAATAATTCTTGCATTCTAAAAATATTTTCTGCCTTTAAATAAACTGCAAAGGGTTGATAAGCCTGAATGACTTTTCCTCGCTAGCCATCCATTCGTTCCACTTTTCTTTCTCGAATTTGATCTTTAAACGGTTTGTTGAGACACACATCCAGTCGTATTTTTGTTCATCATTGAAAAAAGGAAGCGAAGCAGGGACTAGACGACCGTCAAAAATCTCCCATGCTAACAACTTACCATAAACCACAGGATTTAAGGTTCACATTTTATATCTGGAGTATAAGACGGCCACCAATTTTTGTGAGGATTTTGTTAAGGTTAAAAGGTCGCTTGTACGCTACATATACGGTAGAGTAGTAAATAATGATAACTCCTCAACCCAGAAATTCGGACAAAAAATGTTTACTTTAAGATTTCCAAAATATTCATTTTTTTTATGCGAGGATCAGATAAAGAAAATTTACACCTGATTTAGCCCCCTTATTTTAACATCTGATTATGCCCCTTACTTTTAGCATATGATTTAGCCTCCCCACTTTTAGCGTCTAATTTAGCACCGCCCATATACACCTTTTATTCATTGGCGCTTTGCTCGTATAGCGGTGACGATATGCTCCTCTGGTATAACTTAACTGGCATCTCAATCCATCTTCTATAAACCCAAATGTTTGTTCTTTATGTGCCGTGTCCCGTCAGGACGTAGGCGATCATGGCTCTCCGCAACTTTCTGTCCCTTGTAGTTCTTAATAAATTTTATCTTTTTGTTATTTCTCCTCAGCCCTGTTCCGTCATCCATTTACTCAAACTCAAACTCATGTTATATGTTGCTTCCCTATCTCTCTTGCCGTCACTCTGTCCTGTATCAGATTTTCCAAACCTTCCCTCCTCATTATTTACGCTAGAAACCTTAACTGACTCTTCCTGATGTTAAGTATAAGTTTCATTTATTCAAGAATTTCGTTGTTGCTCACATGTTCAGTCCATGGAATGCTCAGAATCCTTCTGTAGAACATTATTTCTGTTACTTCAAGTCTCTTCTTCATCTTTTCATTCAACAAAAAACCTTGAACCATTGAAGTCAGTTTTGCAATGAGACAAATTTGACAGAAATTATCCATTTTACGAGATTACCAGTAGTGCAATATTTGAACATTGTTTTTCTTGTTACATATCATTCGTGTGTGTATGTATGTATATATAATATAACACGATATATACACACATTATATATACATACAAATATATGATATAAACATATATATATATATATATATATATATATATATATATATATATATATACACGAATCAATCATGTATATGATATTATATCGTTATCTCATATATATATACATGAGATAACGATATATATTTTTATATATCAAGAACAGTATTGGAGAGATTTTATGACAAAGTGAAAAAGGGACTTCATCGGACTAATTTTGTTATGTTGGTAGGACTACACATGCACAACGGCAGAGGGTTGATGAGAATTATAAAAAAAAATTCAGCTGAATTCATTTAGAGTCTTTTTCTTTCCATCACTTTTGTAAGTAGGTATTCCACACTGTGATATTAGATGCTCTGCCAGGAATGGTGAAATGTTGTAAGAGCCAGATCGCAAATTTACTGTAAATGACTTTGCGATTAAAGCACTCGAGACATTTCCGTCTCAGTGAATTATTTTCTCCTTTGAACAGAGCATGTCAAAATTGCGGTCAGTCTTGCATTTGATGTATTATTTTGTAAAATGTCCCTTTTGGGTTCATATAACCTTTTATTTAGATTCCTAAGTCTTTTATTGCTTTGGATGTAGCAGTAACGACTTTTATGTTGAGTTTAGATAGATTCTTTTCGATTGTGGATGTGATAGAATTAGTAGACAGGATAGTATATTTTTTGCTTTATTGGGTTTCTTAGGAGGGGTTGTTTTTTGGGGTTTTTTTTTAATATTTTGTGAGCATTTTGCATCGAATTGAATATAAAATAATTAGGATTCTGGAGAAGTTTGAAAGTGTTTTCTATATATTTCTCTTCTTCGTGTAAATAATCCGAGCTGTATATTCTTAGTGCTCTTAGGTAGAATCCAATGATTATGCCGGATTTTATTTTGTTGTTATGATGCGAACAGAAATTTATTAGGTTGTTTTTGCTGGTTGATTTTTGGTGGACACCGAGTTTTAAACTTTTGTTAATACGGTGTAGCTTGATATCTAGCAAGGGTGAGGAACTGTGTTCTTCTATTTCGTATGTAAATTCTATTACGTGTTCGACACTGTTTAGTTGATCCACTAGGTCAGGTAAATCAGTATCACGAGGACATAGAAGTAGAGCATCATCAATATAACGAAAGTATGTTGATTGTCTGGTTAAAATGTTTTGAACAGGACCAGATTCAAGAAATTCTAAGAAGATATACACCATCACTCCACTGAGAGGCGATCCCATTAGTAATCAAATTTTTTGTTTGTAGCAATCATTATTGAAAGTGAAGTAGCATTGATTAGTGATGAAACGGCAGATATATATCAAATATAGATCAAAATCTGACAGAATGATAGGATAAAGAACAAATAGTAAATGTTTATATATCTAACATGATTCACTTTTATTAAAGTGAAACAGAGAGATATTCTGGTATTTTTTGTTTTTTGATTTTCATTGGTTAATCAGGGTTCATGTGCGTTTGACTTGTTAAGCAGCATTAGTATAATTTATATCATTCAGAAAAGAAATGTTCTCTCCTTCAGTTCAGTTTGATAAACATTTCCTATTTGTGCTTTATCCTATCATATACATACATATATATATATATATATAGATATATATATATAACTTAAATGGATAGATATAAATAAATGTACATGTAAGTGTTCAAATACAAATACATATATATATATCCTCTGGTGTGAGAAAAATAGTGCTCAATGCTAAATAACAGAGCTATTAAGTATATATTAATAAATATACATAATACCCCATGCTGACAGTACAACACAGAGTTTGATGTTTATTGCAATCATCAGGTACTAATTTCTACCTAATTAGTTCCTGATGATTGCAATGAGCATCAAACTCTAAGTTGTACTATCAGCATGGGGTATTATGCATATATATATATATATATATATATATGTGTGTGTGTGTTTGTGTGTTTGCGCACACGCACACACATTACACACACATACGGAGTATGTCAGCTATTTAAGAACATAAATTTAGCGGGCAATAAAGTGAAGATGACCTAACCTAATGTTATGCAGCATGCACCAAATTTTAACATTCTCATTTCTTTTAATGACATTGAGAACATTAACATAGCAGCTTTGATTCTGACATAGAAAATAACAAGGCACACCTACTTCATGGCACTATCTGCCAACCACAGGGGCCCAGAGAAAGCTAGCTTCTTGAAAGTGGTCAGGATATTCACATTCAAAGTCAGAAATGATTGTTTTTGATGGACTCATTTTTTACAGCTTATCAACACTTTGCAGGCTATTTAAAGCAAGAAAATATTTTTAAATTGTAAGAACTTTTTTTTTTTTTAAATTTATCCAGAGATAGGTGAGAAACGGTGAATTCATACCTTTGCCAAGGATATTTTGCATGCAAGTGAAAATACCGAACCCAATGGGAATTGGAACTCAGCTCTCCAATTAACAATTCCCAGCAATTATTCATTACATCACCTACACCTCCTAGCTTACAGTACCTGGTATTCCCAAATGCTCACCCATCTAAGTACTAATCAGGCTCAATGTTGCTTGACTTCAGTAATCATATAGGAAATGATGTTTCAACATCATGTGTCCATAAGCCCAGAACTTAAATTAAGACCAGAAGAGCAGGAAGATCAACAGGTGTTTTGGTGCAGACCAAGTTTAGATTATATTTGATGGTCCTTTGATGGTCACAAGCCACAAGGGTTACATCAAGCAAATCCAGGATTAATGCCAGTGACTCCATCAAGGTGCTAGACATGATGATTAAGCCCAACAAGGACAGGGCAGCCAGACATCTGAGCACTTTCGGCTATACATTCTTCTAGACTCGATGAATTAATTATAATTAAGTAATTCATCAAGTTTAGAAGAGACCTCAACAGAATGCACTGGACACTGCTATATTGAGTCTGAGTTGATACCTCTTCTTCACCGATTCCCTTTTGTACAGTTGGTATGACGTTTGCCTGATAACATAACTGTCTGGGTTTCAATTCTCGGTAGTGGATGAGCACTACTGATGAGTAGCACAATATAGCAAATATAGCACAAAACAGCTGTCCAGTGCTTTCTGAATTTTGTTGAGGTTTCTTCTAGACTCGATGAATTAATTATAATTATCTCAAATCCCCCTAATTTCTATCACACACACACATATATATAAGATAGAATTTAATAAATATACATATTGTTCCTCACCAGTAGAATGACTCAGAGTTTCATGCCCAACATAATCTTCTGGTGCTGAGTAGAGACTGACTATTACACATTGTAAAATGGGGATCAATGTTATTTTTTTTTTTTTTTTTTATAAAAAATATGTATTAAAATAGACGGACCCAAAACTAAAAAGAAAAAAAATTATTCGAAATAAATGGGATTTATACTTTATATTAAACATGGATTACTGATTTGTTTTTTTTGTTTCTTTTTGTTTAATGTGCAAGATCCTAATGTACAGCCAGTTAGATCAGGGCTACAGGAATGTAGGATGCCCATGGCTAAGATACAAAGACAAGCTGAAAAGCAACTTGTCAGCAGTCAATATACCACATAACACCCTTTAGTGCTTAGCTTTGGAGCGGGTTGAATGGAGATCAATGTGTTTTAGTGGACTCAGCAATTTTCAATCTGCTTGTCTGAATCATCTTCAAGAAGCGACAGCAAGATCTAAAAGGTCAGCCAATCTGACAGTGATCTCATCTCACAATCCTCACACTTGCTCCATATGTGGCCTCCTTTGTAAATCACTAGCGGTTCTTAAATGCCACTTAAGATTATCGCACAAACTTTCATAACTGAATCAATAAGATGTCAGATCCTCATACGTCGAAACTGATGGGAGAGTCCATTATATATATATATATATATTTTTTTTTTTTTTTTCTAAGAAAAAAAATAATAATATCCTAATGTAAATATATATAATATCCTAATGTAAATATATATAAACATAACATTAGGGTATCACAGATTTTTTTTCTTAGAAAAAAAAAAAAAAAAAACGCCTAACAAAATAGTGTCAATAGCCTTTAAAATCAACATTTAGAATACTAGCATTGATTTAACTTTAAACCATAACCAGAATCAGATAGGCTTGATGTAATTTCAACCTTTGGACAAATAAACTCAGCTTGATACAATCTCCAGTTGATATTCAGAAAACAAAATAAAACCAGATATTTTTAAAAGAATTTGAAGAAACAATTTTATTTGTAAACAAAGCAAACATTTTTACAGTTATCCATTTCGTTTCATACATACAATATTTATAGATTTATTTTTCAACATAACTTTGGAATAAATATTTCTTTTTCAGATCTGAAATTAGCAAAATGCTGCTGCAAAAACTGAATATGTGTATCTGTGAGTGAAAAGTTTTGCCCAAAATAGCATTGATAAGAACAATAAGAGTATTTGATAAAGAGTTCAATATTAGCAAACTATTATCAAAAGTGCTATTTCCAATCATTCTTTTTAGAAATATTTCATAATGTTTTAAAAAAAGTAAAAATTCATATTGGTCCAAGTATTAATATATTTCACATTTAAAAATAAGATTTCTAAATAAATAGAAGGTTGGTACATGTGACTATAAAAAAAGTTTGTCTGCAGTGTTGCTTTTTGTTAACATTTCATGGCTGCTAGCAATCCAAAAAGAAGAAAAAATATTAGCAATCTGAAAAGGTTTAATAAGACCTACCTCAAAATGGTATATTAAAACTTTTCTTTTTTCCAAGTCATAATGGTGATATAATTGTCAATATATATATATATATATATATATATATATATATATATATATATATATAATCTTTTTTATCTTGATAACAGAATTTATAGAAAGCTACAAAGATTTGCTGTGTGGAAACAAAATTCTGCCAAGATCAATCAAATGAGCAGGTGTTTTAAACTATGAGGTCCCTTCATTATGCAGTGATCAGTGTATGTGCATATACCAATTACAAGCAATTAACATGGAAGCAAGTAGAGACAGTCTAGACAAATTCAAATATCAATTTACAATCAGTTTCACTTAGCTAAACAATTGATATTTTGATTTTTTTTATTCACTTCACCCCAAGCATGGTGATAATGCCACTAAGGCCCAAGAGGCTACAGGAAGTGAAAGAGAATGAAAAAACTGTGGAAGAACCAGAAAATCCAATCCTAAACAGGAAACTAAAGATAAATCTCTAATCTTGTTCAAAAGAACACACACACATGTGTGTGCGTGTGTGTGTATAAAGAGACTTTTTGTTTATTTCTTTTCATGCTTTAAAATATTTGAGCAGAAACAAGATTATCTTTGTAAACTTAAGAATATACATCACAATATATGCTACTTAGAGGAAGTTTTTATTTTCTTGGCAGGAGTCAAGTCTGCTTAATGAATTTATATATTGCATTGAAAAACTAAAATACATATTTGTGAAATATATTGTGTTTAATAAAACAAAACATTTCATGTCAATTTTCATACAAATTTTATAATAAATGTGTATTATAAATTTGTAACATATATTATTCTTATTATATATTGTCTAATCATATTACTTTAACTGTTTTGTTTTTACTAATTTTAAAAGTGCCTTTTGAATGTTTCACTTAGTTATGCATTTAACTACATCAAAAGATGAGATCAGAACAATTGCAAATTGATATGCTATTGGAACAATTGCAAACCAATTCAGCAAATAAGAACAATATAGCTTGTCTGAAAAGAGTTAATTTATAATCATATATACAAGTCAATTTTGGTGACAAATTGGATATAGAGGCAAGTAGGTAAATAATACAAAAACAAAGAAAAATACAGTCTTAATTCATTTAAAAAAAAAAAAAACAACAAAATACACAAAAAAATAAGTAAATATACTAATCTTAGTAGATTATGTCCAGTCAATGTGGCATAGAAGCAAGAAAGTGGTAAAGATAAAGTGTGTGGATAAAAAAGGTGAATATAATGTATGAAAGGAGAAAGGAAAGTAAAAAGTAGTGAGATTTAATCATCAGGACAAACTAAGATAGATTATTAAATTATTGAAGCAATTACATATTTTCATTTTATTCTATAAGCATACTTTTGAACAGTTTTGTTTTCAAAGAAATGTTACTGACAGTAATGATATTTCAGAATATTTTAAGCCAAGTTAAATATCAAGTATGCTTAAATTTTTTTTGAAAAATCAAATTTTCCTTTTTATTCATATATTTATCATAATTTAAACATCTTCATTTTTGGTTTCCAGATTAATTCGCGCACAATGACCAATATGGTTTGATCAAATTTTCGCGTTATATATATATTTTATATTTTATTTATTTTAATCAGACGCAACTTCCAAATGGCGGATGAATTGAGAAGAATTTGCTCGTAAGGGGAGACAATCAGTTTTTTTCCAAAGGGATACAACTGCTGCAAGATTGGATTTTTTTTTTCTTCTTTTAGTATTCATATGTGAATAAAATTATTTCAGCTTGGATTTTCATGCGATAGTCTTAACGACTATGAATGAAGAACATTAAATCTATTACGAAATAACTACTTACATATTTTTAAATTCTTTTCTTGGAATGTAGAGTGGTTTGAGTTAATCAAATGGCAGCAAAAGTTCATAATATTGAACTAAAAATATTGAAAAGTTTTTTTTTTGACTGACATCACCCCAAAGATCAGAGACTTCCATAGCATTTTGTTACTTATACATTGGTAACCTTTGAAAATATTTTCAGTTAAGTACTGCGTGCCTTCGTGAATTTTAATAATACTATATAACAAATACATCCTTAGCCAACAATAAATTTCAGAGAAGTTAATATCATATGAGTGAAAATCTGAATATGGATTGTGTAGACAAAAAGTTGAACTGAAGCTTCAAGAGAAACCCACAGATTTTACAAGTAGAATTTCAGCAAACAAATCAATTTCCCTTGTTTACTTATTACACAAATTTTAACACTTAACTGTAAATAATTTAATTAAAAAAATTCTTTAATAAAATTTCTTGAATATTCAGGCTGGTAGACAAAAATAAACATACTGTTTAATAAATAAACAGAGAATTTAATGAAATATGAGTATCTATTAAAAATAACGTTAAAAGTAATAAAATAAAATTTAAAACAAAAACGTTAGATTCAATAATTTTAATTTGTGTTTTTAATCATTTTTGTTGTTTATTTTACTGCATGCATTTTCATACAAGGAAAGTTCAATGTTAATACCCCCCTTTTATTACCAATAGAAAAAGATATTGTGTTATGTTATATAAATATAGTCAACAAGATTATGATTCATTCTGAGAAGAGAGAAGTATTGTTTTCTGAAGTGGTTAGCATTTTGACAAATTTTACTTTTTTATAAAAGTATAAAAAACTTTTATCAAAGACTTTGCATGAATATTTTTTTTTTTTTACAGAAAGTACACAAGAAGAGTCTAACTATATTTCTGAGATGAGGTATTGTAATTATTTACATTATTTATATAAATAATGTAAATAAGAGAAGTCTATTTCAGAATTCTTACAAGTTGAAGCAATATAGTTATCATAACTTCAACAAATTAGCAAAACAAAAATTAAGGTCAATATATTTTAATGCTTTAAATAAATGTAAACAGTCTTCCTTTTTGTTATTGAAATTTGACACAATAACTATGAAATGACCACAATGTTGATAACAGAATCATACATACAAAGACATGTTTTTGTTAAGGCAGGATCAGGTTTAATCTCACACAAAGCAAATTAAGTTCTGCCTGATTTGTCATAATGATTTGAGGCAAGGTTTTACATGGCCGGATGCTCTTCCTGACGCACAATTCAGACATTCATGGTAGAAAAACAAAATTAAAAAATATGCCCAACCCAAGAGGCAGATCTGTGGGTTGGTGGGGTATTAGTTCAATAAGAGAGAGAACACAACCTGCTTAGATAATACTCAATTATAAAAAGTAATTAATATCAAGATAAACAAATTTTCATAAAGACTCAAATAATCTCAAGTAATCACAAATTAACTTTTAAAACAAAAAAAAAAAAAAAAAAAACAATTATTTTGTTATTCATCTGAAATACGGAAAAATTTTTTATTTAACAGTTTTATAGTAAATTTCTTTACTTTCATTTATTTATCTATTTACTTTATACATAGCATAAAGTATTTATTTCTAAAAATGTTACAGCTCAAATCTAAGTGAAAAATACTTACACTTATAGAATGCCTTAAAACCACACACTGCCAATAAAAAATACCTATACTTATAGAATGCCTTCAAATACTCAAAGCCAATACATTGATCACCAATTGCACATTCAATTTTTCCATTTGGACATCATTGTACTCAAAATCCTGGATCTACCCCTGCAGTCTGTGAAATAAGGGGATTGCTGAATATTATCTAATGATGCATAGAAATATGCAGATTTAATCACTGATAAAACATGACCAGTAAATCAACAATTTACAAAAATAATGTTTCACTGAAGCCTTGAAAGATGAACAGAAATGAAATCTATAATCATTATTAATACATTGGAACTCTGAACACTTACTGGACCAAGCAGATGTAATGCTAAGGTCATAATATATTGAAATTTATTGTGGGTGGGTGTATGCAGAGTCAAATTGTCCCGGGGTGCATGCTGGTCAAAATGGAGTAGTGGTCCCAAGAAATCATCTAATAGTCTCTAGTTATAGAGACAAAATATCTTGGTGTAGAAGCGGGAACAGCCATTCACCACCACCTCTGAAATCAACACAGATGACACAATCCCAGCATTTTGGATAACAGCAGTAGCAGCAGCACTAAAAAGAAAAATAACAATTGTGAATCACGTTGAAGTCTTAAATAAATATAGATTATAAGATCATAAACCGCAAGTTAAAAAATGTTAGGAATTAAAAGTTGTCTATAAAGTTTTGTTAGGGCAGATGACACTGAACTTAGTTTACATTGGTAAAACAAAAAAAAAAGGAATTTAATGAGCATTTAAACTTAATTTGAACCAACAATTATTTGCAACTTTTACAATCTGCTCTCTCTCTCTCTCTCTCTCTCATAGGCTTACAGCCATATCATCTTGAAACACTAGTTCTTGTATGATCAACATTAAGCAACATCGAGCCAGGTCAGTACCTAGTTAGGTGATTGCTTGGGAATACCAAGTGATGTAAGCTTGGATGTGCATGTGCCATAATGTATAACAGCTCAGAATTGGAAATTAGAGAGCTGAGTTCCAATTCCACTTGGTTTTGTTATATTCATTTATGTGCAAATACCCTAGGGAAAGGTATCAGTCTACCTCTTCTCCCCACCCCCAGCTAATTAATTAGTAATACTTGCATCAGTAAATAAACATAATCTCAAAATATGTTTATAGGAATATATATATATATATATATATATATATATATGTGTATTTGTGTGTGTGTGTGTGTGTGTGTGTGTGTGTATATACACTTTGAATATATGCTCTTTAGCGCTCGAGGGCATTGTCAGTGATGTTTTGAATTAGGTCATTGGACTGTTTCGACTCCCCTCACCAAGTCAATCCCATCAGAACTGATCAAACTCTGATGCAACCCCAATCTAAATTAACAGCCTGCAGACACTGACTTATATTAGGCAAACCCATATCCCTCTGTCACACATTTGATTGGAAGTTGACCAACACCCAATCGCAATGGTGTGAGCTCTATTTAAGTTGTTTACAGGGGATTTTTAATTTTTCTTTTTCATGTGGATACTCATCGGATATTCGGAAAGTTATTGTGTTTTCCGTTTTTTTTTTTTTTTTTTTTTTACTTTTTTTTCAAGTTTCATCTCCCCAGTTGATAATTACTGTTAGTAAAAACAAAAAATAAACAAAAATAAAAAAATGAAAACCTTAAAATAATTAGAAATTTACATTGTTTTCACGATTAAAATAAATAAATTACAACTTATGCAGTGTGTTAAAACGAAAATAAATATATAAATAAATAAAACAAGTTAAACGAGTAAACTTAAATTTGATTAAATTTATTGATTAACGTGGTAAAATTAACATGTGAGATTAACAAATAAAATTAAATTTACAATTTTTGATCATTACACAAAAAAAAATGCAGGAAAGAGGGGTGAACAATATTGCTAAGTAAGTTGTTTAGCAAGAATTAGTCACTATTAATTATAATTTACATATAGTCCAATAGTTGGTGACAGAAAAGGAAAAAAGATTCCATCAAATGTGAGAATCCTGGAACTAAAAACTAGTTGCTTAACTACACGCAGAACAATCCTTAAAAACAATTGTAGCAACATTCAAGAGGTCTCAGAGGGAAAAAAAATAATATGAAATAAAAGTTAATATGAATTTTGGCAAATTTACTGCTAACAAAAAACAGTTTATTTGAAAATTTGAAAGATTTCATAAAAAAATTTGCTAGACATTTTATGTCTTGTTGTAGATGAGGGAAGTGACCTGAAGAATGGGAAGAGTCACTAGGGCCTGGAGTTTATGCTTATCTGTCGACAGTTGGCCGAGGTCACTGGTGGTAATGGAGAAAGCCTACGCACTGTATGTATGTATTGTGTTATGTATGTATATATAGATACACACACACACACACACACACACACACACACATATATATATATGTATACACACACACACACACACACACACACACACACACACACACACATGTATATAAATATGCACACATACATATTTTAAGACATTTTTATGTTTATACATTCTTTTTAACTTAACCAATCCGGCCACAGAGGAGTGTTCGGTTAGCAAGGTCAAATTGGTTAAGGCATGTCAGGCTAAATGACAGTTATATATATAGGATACAGGTTCAATTCCTGTCGGAGGGCGAATATTTTCTATGAAAATTTCTCGGACATTCAGGACAGTAAATGTTGTTTAATACTGTTTATTATAAACAAAGCATTTACATTTTTTGTATCTATAAAAAGAATGTATAAACATAAAAATGTCTTAAAATAATTGTCGGACTTTGTCCATTTCATAATGTGTGACACATACATATGTATAAACATACATATGTATATATACACACACACATACATACATACACAAACACACATATATTTTCCAATTATTTTTTTACAGGCAACACCCTGTAAATCCACATTAGATAAACTTCCGTCTGTCTGTCAAGGTGTCACCTGCTTAAATAAACAGCTAATGCCATGTTAAAAAATGCATTTTTGTGATATTTTAAACTTTAAATATCGCAGAAATGCATTTTTAAAGTAAATAATATTTCTTTCAAATCAGATTAATTATACTTTAAATCAGCTAAAACATATCAGATAAAGTATATTTTTGGAAATATTTTAAACAGAATTACATTGTGATAAATGTGGGCTAAAAATGTTGCTGAAATCAGATTTTTTTTAGCAAAAAAGAAAAAAAAAGTATCTTTCCAGTCAACTTAAACTAGTTTTGAAATAGAGCAAAGTATATAGCTTATTGAAAATATTGAATTTAATCTATTAGCTTGAAATTAAAACTAAAATATACACTTGCAGAAAGATTTTTCATTTTTAAAAAGTCACTTTAAACCTTAGGTATCGTGAGGTACCTAGTATTTATGAAAATAAATATAGCAATACGTACTTTTCAAATTTGTTGTAAAGGGCAATAACTTTGTACAAAAGAAAAAGTTGTTTCCCTTACATATAGCAGGCGTTTATGAATTTAGAAAAAGATATTCATACATTTGCAAACCCGCATATAAATGTCTGAGTTCATTTTGCTACTGAAGAAACAATCATGAGAAATTTCTGCTTCAAACTATTTCCAAATTGAATGTATTAATTCATATACTGAAGGAAGGACTTGATACTTTTTTTTTTTTTATGGTACACGTCATGTACCTTCAGGATGTAGGCAAACATGGTTCTAGACAGATTCCTTTTCTTTATTATCTGTGAATCAAAATGATCTATTCAAAAAGATAGTGGAATCCTTTCTCATTGCCTTCTCCGCGGTTTAGAATTTAGAGTTTTCCTTCTCTCAGACTAGTTGTCGTCCAAGGTTAGATAGCCTTGTTTACCCTGGAGAAGAGCTGGATTCATATCTTTCACAAGTGTGAAAGTGAATGCAACTAAAATGGAATTTGAACCTGGCTTGTAGATTCTACTTTTCATATCAATAAATAACTGTTACTTCAATTGATACTGGACTTCAAAATCTTGTGATGTCTGATTCAGTTGCATTGTGTCACTGATTTCTTTGTAATTTATAGTTGGAGATAAATAAAACATCAAATAGCACAAACAATATTTATACACAGACTTTCCCTTACTAAACAGAAGGAATCATAGAGCACTTTTTATTTTTTTTTTTTATTTTAGAATACCCTAATTGCACACGCCAAATCTAGATTTCAATGCTGTGATTTTCTTTATTCAACATTGGGGGGTTCAAGTCTCTCCAGCTCCCACCAACACTGTAAAGATTAAAATCATTATGGGCAGTGATGAATCTTTCTAGAATGAATAGCTGTCATGTCAGCAACCATTTTCCTGTTGTTCTCTTTAGTTGCAAAAAGACATTTTTCCTTCCTTCCTTACAGTATAAACCTGAAGAAGGCATCACCTGAAAAGTTGTGTTAACAACAAAGCCTGGAATCACATACAATATTTTTTTATATTTTTGACAATGATAAAGAAAGACGAACAAGTCAATTAAACTGTAGATAATGAGTTAAGTTTCCACATGGTGGTGGGTTGTGTTCAATTGGTGTGTTGGTCCACCCACATTTAAAAAAAAAACAACCAGAAGAAACTTCAAGTTCTAGGATTAGCAACAGCAAAACTGATTCAGCATATAAAAAGGTCTCAAACATTGACAAAGACAAAAATCCACAGCTAAGATGCCAAGATCAAAGTGTAATATCTATTCCTGTAGTTCCAGCCAACCAGCAGCAGCAGCTCCAGCAGGCCTCCAGCTCCAGCCATCCATTCTCACCAGACAAAAATTTGGAATCCTTGAATTCAGAACGCCACAAATTATTGGTTTAAACATGGGTCTAAAGTGTTGAATGCATGTGAAACATGATTGACCAACGAAAATCAAACAACACAAAAGTAAAAATTATCAGAATTTCTTTCCTCTTTTCTCCATGTCATTCTCTGATGAAGCTTTTATAAAAGCGAAACATGTTAGATTGATAAATATTTTCTATTTGTTCTTTATGTTATTCTGTCAGATTTCAATCATATTTGATCACAACTCATATATATATACGTATGTGTGTGTGCGTATAATAGCTAACAGTCATGCAATTCTAAGCAAGGTTTCAAAGTAAATTTTGAACCATTAACCTTGTAGCCAGTAGAATTTTTGTCTATTAATAATTTATTTTCAATTACAAAGGAAAACTTTAACGACCATATTTCCTTCCTTTATATTTTTATTTTAAAGTAGTTTAAATGCTGCCCTATTGAGCAGCATTCAAGCAAGTTCCTGCAGAGAGCTCTTGAATGGGCCTTCAGCTTGTTCAGGAGTTTGAGTTTGCATATTCTCAGCATTGGAAGCTCTTCTGGCTGCCATTTATCTGGGTTTTCATCTGTACAGGACTTTCTTTTCCTCATTGCAATCTGGTCTTCTGTTGGCAGAGATTTCTTTTTGAGAAGCATAATGTTGCCGCATGTAATAGGCAACAAACTACAGAAGAACTCAAATTTGATCATTGCATTTAATTATTAAATTAATATTTAAATTTATCTTTTAAAAATGCAACAATAATTCTTCTGCCACCATTTCATAAAGACAATTTAATGTGTGTAGATCCTTACTTTCTGTACAAACAATTATTTTTATTTTATAGGTGACTTTCGCTGGATTTCACATTGCGATTATTCCCAAATTTATTTCCAAGTGATAAAAATTGTTATCATACAAAAAAATTTGTTGGAAAAAAGTCATGTAAAAAAAAAATCAACGAAAATAATGGCAGTAATGAAAACTTGGGAATCCAAAATTTCTATAACACGAGCTATTGAATTGTGTCCCTTTAATTGAAAAAGTATGACACACTGACATTCGTATTTATTATGTAGATTAGCATCTTCTTTCCCTTAAGTTTGTTTTTTTCAAGTTCAGAGTCAGTAGTTAGTATGCAACAGGGCAGTAGTCCTGGTTGAGTCATACTAATGAATGGAAAGTTGTTAATGACTTGAGGAATTGAGAGACTTGATAATTCTGAGTGAAGGAGTCGAGATATTAGAAAGAGAAAAATATGAGAGAGTGGTTAATCAAATTGGAGATTGATGTCCACAGGTTTTCTGTCACAATAGGGTTTCTTTATTTAGAGACCTATTTGTCATATTTGCATTAAGTTCAATGTAATTTTGGAAACTTAAAAATCTAGGCCCAAATCGAAAAGCACTTTACATTTGGCCATCTGGTTTTTCTAACAGGAGGTTCTTTGTTTGAGAAGTTTATTATTAATGTCTGTTTCAGGTCCGGGAGCTAAAGACACGTGCAGAAATCAAAAAACAATCAGAGCAGAGAAGTTGCTCTTGGAGAGTCCCACTCAAGCCCTTCATCCACTGTAGAAGTCAACTACTGCAAAGATGTCAGTACTCACACATCTCTTAGAATCAGATATCAATGCCTCAAGTTTGGAAGGGAATGAATTTTTAAATATTTAATCCATAATTTAATTGTTGATAATTTTCAACAGCATCATTTCTTTTATGGGCACATTAGCAATACCCAGAATTGAAGAAACAGTACAATCGAATGACTGTCCAATCAACAACTTGTCATTTCAGACTCTAGACAACACAAACTCTGGCAAGGGACAAATCCACAAATCTACGCAAACCACTTTCTCCGCAGTGTAACCCCAACTCACTTGCATGACATCCCAACACTAGACAAGAGTGCTGCTTTTGATAAACAACTTCAGTACAGGTTAGGTCTGGCTAAGGGATGGATTTCCACAGAAACACAATAACTAAGGTTTAAAATGAATTTTTAAAAATGAAAAATATTTCTTGGAACTTTTATTTTAGTTTTAATTTCAAGCTAATTGATTAAATTTAATATTTCCAATTAGCAAAATATTTTGGTGTATTTCAAAACTAATTTAAATTGACTGGAAGTAGTTTTTTTTGGAAGAGCTAAAAAATTTTTCAAAAATAAAATATACTTTTCAGAAACTTTATTTGAGGAATATAAGTTGATTTAAAGTTTAATTAATTTAATTTGAAACATATATTACTTACTTTAAGTTTAAAATATCATAGAAATGCATTTTTTAACATGGAGGTAGATGTTTGTTTAAGGTATTGACAGCTTAACTAACAAACAGAAGTTTATATTATTTTTTTCTATGATGGACATATCTGTAAAAATTATTTGAGGAATATGACATGCCTTTTTTATATATTTGTAAACTTAAAAATATATTTGTAATCTTAAAAATTTAAGGAAATATTCTCTATAGTCTCATCTTTTATTGAATTTTATGTACTTTGGCTTTAAATTTACTTTAATTATTGATCTTATTTTCTGATAATGTTGTGTATGGATGTCTGTATTTGAAAAAAATTGGCACATTTATGCACACACAAATAATTCAAAATTCTTTTTAAAATAATGTGGGGAAAAGTAATGAATTGCAGTAAGCTTTCTAATGTGTTTTCACTGAAAAAAAAACAAAAAACACTAAAATTTCCTATACTAATCTTTGCTCCCTCTCCCAAATTTACACAAGAAAAACAGAATTTTAACCAAAATTTCAAACATTCTAAAAAGGATAAAAAAAATATTATTTATTAATCAAAAAATTCTTTGGTCTTTCCTCTTAATAATAAAGATTTTGATGATAAAACTTTGTTTTTAAGTTTTTTCATCATAGTATGGTCATTTTTTAGCAAATCTGTAGAGTTACTTAGTTATAAGTATAGTGGACAAAAGGTGTGGAATCATTATCAAGAGAGAACAGGTAATTGTACAAGACAAAGAAGTAAACAGAAGAAAGAGCAAAAACTGTGGAAGATAGAAATGGAAAAAGCGATAGTCCTAAAAAAGAAGTGAATATTGAGAGAGAAAGAGCACAAAAAAAAACAAGAGAGTGGTGGGAAGAAAAGGATAAACAATCAAGACAGAAAAGAAAGATAACATAATGAGAGAAAGAGGGGACAGTGACAAGAGATAAGTTAAAAATACATAAAAATAAAAGATATATATATATATATATATTCACCAGTTTTTAATGCTGACCCTGTGTCTACTCATTAAAGCTATTCTTTACCAGTCATCACTCCTTTCGTTGGTTTCCGAATATGATGGAAGCTCGGCAGCAGCTTGGAAAGGAAGTCCAGTTGTAATGTCTGTGGCTGTTCAAAGTAGACACCAAGAGAATCAAAAATGCAAGAGAAAAAAAATGTGTGTGTGTGTGTGTGTGTGTGTGTGTGTTCAGATGAACTTCATTCCTTAGTCTCACCAGTTCTAACCTTCACAGCTAAGACCCACCATACCATATACACTGTAGCGAACCACCCTCATTCCCTTCATATTCCATTAGGGAGAAGTAAATTCCATTCAAACAGCTTGTTTCCACAAATCACTTTGTGAAATCGACTCCCAAGTGGATGCTTTCCTGACCACTACAATCTGTTCAAGTCTAGAGTTAACCATTATCTTTCCCACATATGCTCATAAACTGCACCTTTTACACTTTCTGCTCACACAACAAACTCTTTCTGTAACTCTTGGGCCGTGTATAGAGTATACATATTGATATCCTTGTCCTTAGTGTTTTTAATCAATGTTTTGATTGATTAGCCTGTATTTCTCATCTGGTAATACACTGGATTTTCACACTCTTTACATTACTTAGATTGTGGCCAAAATATTTTGGTTTATCCATTCTACAAATTTCTTCAAGCATACAACCTGATGTTAACAAAATGCCATATATTTTTCCCCGTTTTCCCTTGTAGTCCTTGTTTCTCACAGAATATACACTTGATAAAGGCTGAAGAACAGATAAGCCAAAATGTGATAACATCAAATGTATAAAGAAAGGATTCAATTATCCAAACATTATTTGAAATCTGAACAACTCTTCTCAATATTTTTTAAACCATGGGGGTTACTCTCCAATTCTTTCCCTACCAAGCAAAGAAATCCAAAATGTCTACCTGTTTAATGTAGGTTACTTCCTTCAATTTACTCACCTTCACCATTCTATCTTTTTTTTTTTTTTTTTTACTTCACCTTTAAATATCTTCATTTATGTGCCATGTTGCTTCAGGACATTGGCAATCATGGCTCTCTACAATTTCCTGTCCCTTGTAGTTCTAATCAACATTTGACTCTCTACCATCCCTTTTTGTCCCCATTCTGCTATCCATTCACACAAACCTGTTAGGTAAGGTTACTTGCAGTTTCTCTCTGCTCCACTTGCCTTCAGTATGGCATATGAGTGTCAAATTCTCCAAGATATAGGAGATAGAAGATACATTTCTTTATTACTAACAAAAAAAATTTTCCTATCTCTTAATACTTTGTTTAGTTTCTGAAAGGTATAGCTTCCTTTTTTATATTCTTTGTGGTTGACTTTCAGCGGATAGCTGGTTTTTACCTTATATACAAGGGATGTATAATTTTGTTAACCACATCTTTTATGGGGGAACCGATTGCAGTAGGAAGGTTGCAAACAATGGTTGTAGTACTGACAATCAGTCTGACACTGTATTGTCTACAAATCCTTTGGATTTGTTCGTTCATTCATTCATTTTATTGGTAGACTTACAGCACCTACATAGTTGTTATCTCAATGGGTTAATCCTCCTACCCAATATCTTAAAAGCAATATAGAATGGGTAGTTTGATTGATTTGCTTTTTATGGCTTAGCAACACTTTGTGGATTATTTAAAGCTGAAGCACATTTTAGTTCATAAGAATAATTTTTTTTTTTTTGATAGTGAATATTGCATTAACAAATTTTTGAGAATAAGAATGATTTTTCCAGATAGAAGTCTCATTATTTAACCCATAGCTGGGAGGAGGAAATAGATTTATACATTTCCCAAGAGTATTTGCGTGTAAGTGAATGTAACAAACTCGACTGGAATTTGAACCTTGTTCTCTGATTTCTCATTCCAAGCCACAATCCATTACACTACCCACACATCTTGGATAGATGGAGGGTGCTACTCATGTACATTAATTATTAATATGTTAGTGTTGCTGTTAAAGATACTAGTGTGAATAACTCACAAAATATGTACAAGAGGAATGGGAAGTGCTGAAGAATTCTTGGTTTGACCCACTTCCTAAAATCTGACCAAAGTGACTAAAACTTTTCTTCTTGGTTAGGCCAAGAACTTTTCAGAATTCCTCATTATATGTGATGTATCTTGAATTGTATTGCAACATTAAGCCAAATGTAGATGCAGAAATGGTCAAATAATCGAACAATTTATAATCAGCAAATCAAGACAAAGTTAAAATAATTTTCAAAACATACTGTTTTTTTTTTAGATTCTCTATGAAGATGCAGCATTTTATTTTCTTTGTTGAAAAGGAAGTTTTGCTTAAAATACTTACGAAGGGATGTTCCTGCTGTACACGTCGTCGACACTCCTCCCCATAAATCACAGTATTCTCTTCAAGGCATTCATTGGTGCTTAGGTGACATTTTGCTCCAACAATACAACCAGACGACAACTCTGTTTGCCGACCCACACTTGCTGCAAAGATAGGATAAAATCATGAATGGCGAATCTAGCAATCAATATGGATTTTAGAAACATAACTTCATAATACACAGATCCGTATAAACAAAGATGCATCAAAACATTCTATAGCCTGAAACACAGTTATTAGCTGGAGTTAAATCTGAAATTTTCACTGTATAATCTATGTGATTAATATCCACCACTGAATTAAGTGCATTGTCAATGAAGATTATATTAAAAAATAAAGATTTGTTCTATGACATGCCTTTTTCAACATTTGGAAGTGGACTTAGAGATACTTCTAGGTAATAGTTATTTCATAGCAAAAATGGCTTTAAATAAACATCCAGGGTTCTGTAAATATTAGAGCCTTTCTAGATATCTATTATCTTATTCTATGCACCATTTCCCTTCAGGACATGACAATCTTGCCTCTCCACAACATCCTGTTCTTTGTAGCCCCTAGTAAATTTTGTCTTTTTGCTATATCTCTTAATTCCTGTTCTGTAAACCGTTTAAACAAACTCATTAAATAGGTCATGCACTGCTTTACTCTGTCCCTTTTTCTTCAACATGTCCTTTGAGTGTCAAATTTTCCAAGCCCTCTATCCTCATGATGTGCCCAAGAAATTTCAACTATCTCTTCTTGAAGCTATATATAAGTGTTCTTTTTGTTTCCATTTTCTCTAAATCTTTGTTGTTGCTCACATGTCCAATCCATATTATCCACAGCATGATTTTGTAAAGCCACATTTCTGTTGCCTCAAGACTCTTCTCCATCTGTGAGAATATTGTCCCACATTCACTGCCATATAGAAAGACTGATATAATAGTTCAATACTCTTTTATTTGTTTCAAATGAAATTTTCCTGTTTCTTAATAATTTGCTTAAATTTTGGAAAGAATATTTTACTATCTCAATTGGCCTACAGATTTCAATGTTGCATTTTCCATCCTTTGTTAAAACACTTCCTAGATATTTTAATTTTTGCACTCATTTAATTTTGGTATCTCCAATTTGTAATTCACATGTTGGACTGACCATTTTGCTGACAACTAGATTCTTTCTTTCTAAAGTTGATGTTTAGTCCTTTCTTCTTGCTTTCCTTTACTGCCTTCTGTAAGAGTTCTTGTAGTTTCCTTTCTCTGTCTGCTATCAAAACTGTGCCATCTGCATGTCGAATGTTGTTTTGATTGTGGCTACCAATAATGAATTCTGGAAAGACTTCTAATTCTCTCAGGATTGCTTAAGTATTATAAAGTACAGGCTCTCGAGAAAGCAGTTGAGCAACATGCTCCATAAGTTTTCTATGGGGTTGAGGTCAGGAGATTGGGGCGGCCATGTCATAACACTCACCTGCTTCTCATCAAAGTATTCCTTCATCAATTTTTATTTGTGACAGGGAGCATCATCCTGCATAAAAATGAGCTTTGTGGGGTCGATTTGCACCCTTTCAGCAGAAGGGAACAGACAATATTCTAAAATTCTCTTGTACTGCTCGCTCCTGGGGGTCTTTTCAATAGGTTTTAAGAAACCAGTTCTATGAAAAGAAAAGCATCCCCAGAACATTATACTGAACGGATGCTTGACAGTACTTACTGCTAAATTCAAAGAGCTTTCAAAGCTTCTTCAGATTTTAGATCGCTTATCCTTTGAATTTAGCTCAACTTTTGTCTCGTTGGAGAAGAGAACATTGAGTAAAAAAAATCAGGTGAGTCACTTTTATCGAACAGCACTGTACTTTGTCAAAAACTTCTGCATTTTTGCTAAAAGGAACAAACTCTTCACCTTGCCTAAATGCAATCTGGGACTGCAAGGCAAGATTTCTTCCATATTTGCAATGAAATAAAAGCAATCATCATCATCACCTATCTCATGACTAGGTGTAGTCATAGAGTTGCCGAGCATCTGAGCAATTCACTCCACATATTCAGAGTTATTCATTCACTTATTCATAGTATGTCATGGGGAAGTAGACCTGGTGGATCTCATCCCTCTCCACATCAAACCACAGCTGATATCCTCCAATTTAAATGCTCAACTTGGTCAGACATATTTTATAGTGGGCACTAACACAACACCTATGTTAAATTTACATTCATATATATTTGTTCTATTAAAAGAAAAAATATAATTTAAAAAATATTGGTCAGAAGGAAATTCCATTTAATATCACTTTCGAATATTGATATAAAACCAACAGGAATATTATTTTCTAATCTGTAAGAAATATGAATACAAGAATCATTTAAAAAAAAAAAAAAAAAATGAGTGACAATTTATTAAATATAGATTGTCTCACCTTTCACTTCCACAACATTGAAATCCCCAATCTTTAAAGATTCAACATCTGTTAATCAAATCATTAAGGAAAAAAACAAAAATTGAAGAAATGCTTTAAAGGGAGATAATCAGGTATGACATTTAAATTAACAAAAAGCCTCTAAGCAAAATTCAAGTTGATTTTTTTGGTTTAAAATCCAATGATTTAACAAATTAAATTTTTCAGGAGACCTACAGATATTAAAAGTAAATAAAAAATTAAATTATTAATGATAATGAATAGTCCCAAATCTCAGTGCTTAAACTAAATGAAAAATCCTAACATATTTTGGTATTATTTTTTTTTCCTGAGTTAGTCTTTAGAAAACAAGTCTAAAAGAGAAGCAAACTAAATAGAAATTTTTTTTCTAAAATTAAGGGAAAGAAATTAAAATCCTTTAATAACAATACACTCATAAAATTAATTCTCTCTAAGCAGCAAAAAAAATATCAAAATGTCCACACTTTATCATATATCATGCTTTACTGCTTACATTTGACATTTTATTAAAAAAAAAAAATGAAATGCAAAATATATATACAAAAGTTAATACTTGAGCTGTAGTATGTTAAGTAAATATCAAGGTTAAACAATTATAGCCTCATTGATTAAAGTATTGGTTTGTGAATTTGGTGACATACTAATAACTGGTCCAGGCAGGATGCATTTGAACTCTGTGGAAACAGGGTGAGCAATAACTGAGAAATACTAAAAATAAGAACTAGACAAAATACACCTAGACCGAGGCAATGGAACAAGAACACTGTAGGTATCACCAAAATGGATGGATTTTTTTCAAAATGAAAAAAAAAAAATTTGAAATATCTGCCAAAAATCAGGAAATTATTTTCAGCAATTATTCATTAATGAATGAATTGTAAACTGAATAGGTTATTTTGTTAGAAAACTTTATGGAAATATTGGGGGTTGTTTCAATCCATCTTTCAATATTTCATGTGTACTTTTTAAGGGGGGGAGGGCAATCAATTTTTTTAGTTATATAGTGAAAAATCCCTGATTGTGTTCTTACAGTAAAAATTTTATGCAATATCAAGTGTGAACACACAGAAAATTTGTTCAGAGTCTTTTCCAAAAATAGTTCAATAATACTCAAAAAATAATTTTTTCTAACAGTTGGTGCTTGCATACTTTAATGAAAAACATTATTTTCTTTTAAACTGAACAGAAAAGAAAAATCTACCCTTAATATTTATTTTTCAAAATATTGTAATTGGTAAACTGTTATCAGTGCAGTTCTGAAATTCATTGTTGCTATCCATAACAGTTCATTTTATTAAAAAAAAATGTTTGAAGCTAAAAATATAAAGTTTAACGCCATCTTTTAGTGTGAACTATTTTTAATTTTTTTTTTTTTCATTTTAGCAACTGTTAGATTATTTTTGGCATGGATATTCAAGAAGGAAATAATTCTGAATTACAACCACCTTTGATTACTTTTCCCTATCAGAATACTAATATGATATATGATAATTCAATAACTTAAATTCAGAATAATTAAAAAAGCATTAATTGCAATTAGATATTTTATGACATGAGACAACTATGAAAATAATAAAAAAACAAAAGCATCATTTAACTAAAAAAAAGTTTTTTATACTTCTAATGTAGCATAAAAAAATGAAATTATTCTTTCTACTAAGTTTCATAGAATCGTAGTGAATAAAAAATATTATATTCTTAAACTATTGTTTATATAACATTAAAGATAATTTGTTTTCAATGTCTTGATTATTACAGAGCTAGTGTTTCAGATTTCTTTAATTTTTATTTTTTCACACTTTTTAAACGAGAGGTGTAATTATGAATATTTTATTTTTGATCTTTGAGCCCATAGATTTCTGTGCATGAATAAACATTATTTTCATTAAGTTTTAATTAAAAAGTAAACATTATTTTTTTTACAAAATCCAGTTAATTTATGCTTGAATTTACTAAATAATTTCGAGTATATCTATGGGATAAATATTGAATTTTTAAGAGATTTTTAAATTTGTTGTTTACATTTTTCATCTACAATGGAGGTTCAATGAGTCAATGAGTGAATATGGCAATATTTTAAAAGTGCCTAAAATCTTTATTTATATATGAAAATTAATTTTCTTTTAATTCTGATTAGTGTTAGGCTTTCAAACAAAACTGAAATTTAAGTTCAAAGAAGGCAGCTTAATTATTTAAAATGTGTTTTTTAGGGTTTTTTTTTTTTTTTTCCCTAAGTCTGTGGAGATACCTAGAGAACTGTCTACCCTTGTAGATTAAATAAAAGGCACAGTTCGGAATTCCTTGTAGATTACCCAAATTGTAATATACTCCTGATGAAAGCCGGAGACCACAACGGCCGAAACGTAAAACAACAATACAGTAAAAATAAGGACAATAGTCCGCATGTAAATAGTGTCAATAAACAACCAAACACTAGAAAAAGAGTTACTTCCCTTTGATTGTTATTGAATTTTTTAAAGTTTTTTAAAATTATTTCCAAAAGATTTAATATTATTGCTGCATTAAAAAAATAAATCAAAATATAAAGACTTAAAACAAAAATTTTAAAAACTACTTATGCATTTTTAAGTGACTTATTTACTAAGGCTAAAAAGCATTCAATGTGAACTTCAGCAAATGCAAAAGAATTTTTAAAAATTAATAAAATATTTGCCTTAATAGCTGAAAGTATAAATGCTAAGAGTTAATATTAATATCTATTCAAAGTGTTTAATATCAAAGTATATCTGAATTTTCAAGCTAGATGCTGATATACATTACATGCATACACAAAGAAGTCTTATCCATACAAGCTATTTTAATCATCAAACCCAAACCATACAGGCCTTTCTGTCTATTCAGAGTAATTATGTGATTAATACCATAAAAATTAACTGTAAATCTACCTTAAGAAAGGATTAAAAACATTGGTTAAAACTTTGGCAAACATTGTGAATAGATAATTAAAAGATATGTTTGAAAGTCACAAAAACATTTGTATTCGTTTAATAAACCAGAAGTCATGGATGATTTTGTTAATGTTTAATGTTCATTGATATAATCCTTACAACATTACAAAACGATATAACTTTATTTATTCATAAAGGTTACATATAGGAAGAAATAAAATAGAACAAATGGGGATGGTTTAAGCACAATGTGAAGAGATAAATGTTACACTATATTGTTTGGACTGTTGTGCACATTTTTATTGCCATATTAATGATGTTTTAGCCATTGTACAATCTGGCTTTCTTCAGCCTATAATAGTTGGAATTTTGAACTGAACACTTTATTTATTTAGTCCACGGGGTAGATTGTTCTAATTCTATATGCCACGCCTTTGGATATCCCAGCAGATAAAAGTGTTGATTGAGTGATCCTAAAAGTGACTTGACCCAAAGAGTTTTAGAGGAATTAACTGAATCTGAGATATCCATTAAATTATGTCACAAAAATGTTAATTTACTTTAACTAGAGACTTTAACTAAGCATTTATCAAATATTATCAAGTTTTATTTCTATTAAATGAAGCATTGTCAAGTATTATGATTTTTTTTTTTTTACTTGTATTCCTTCCATTTTAATTTTAGCGGTCTTGAATCACAACTATTCCCACTATGGACAGTCATGGGGGTTGACAGAATAGTTGCAATGAAAAGATGCTAAAATTAAGACGAAAGAAATACAAGTCAAAAATTAAAAATTAATGTGTCAACTTCTATTTGTTTTTAATAAGGTGTATATAAAAAAAATCAATGACTAAGTACTAAACTATTGCAGTATTTTGCTTGATTCAAAAAGCAAATGGCAACAGGTCTTTTCATCAAATATAGAATGACCCATTAACACATACTGTCCAAAAAATGGGACAGTGGACAAAAGCCTATAATTAATACTTTTTTTTTTTTTTTTTTTTTTTAAACCTATAATTGATACTGGATTTTTTTATCATTATTACAAATTTATAATGCAAGCAAGAATTTACAATGGGTATTAATGGATTTTTATATATAGAGAAAAATAATTCACATTCAATTATCTCAGCATATCCATATCATGACTGGCTTTTACCACAAGTCCTTCTCTCAAAACTGACCTGGAAGCAGCCATTTGTAAGAAGAGTGGAAAAAGAGCTTGATGACAAATACCAGATTTCTATGCAGTTGAGGAGTGGCATGTGGCCCTCACATAGGCTTTGTTCACAACATATAGCATAATTTGTACATGGTGCAGCAGAAAATACCTGCCACATTTTAAACTGTCACCTGTTTGGTACTAGTCAACTTAGGCAAGTGGCAATTGTGTCTTCTTCTAGATAATATCTTACTGTTTATTTAGTTTATGTAGATATCATCAGTTACCATTGTGAGTGGAACTGGTGCATACTGTGCATTTGCTGTTGAAACGTTTTTAAAGCATAATCTGTAATTGCAACACAGAGAGCTTTTCCTGCAAATGATGTGGTTATGGATAGAAAATCAATACTGCTATGGTTTTAAAATTTTAGAGTCACACGTTCAGTGCTTACAAAAAAGCTACCTGGAAAATCTCAAAGCACTCAAACTTTCGGGTGATGGAAAACTTTAGAAATCATCTATAAGTGTATGGCAAACAGAGGCAACATTTATGGAGGATGTTATTTTTAAAATCCAACAAATAAAAACTGTAGTCCTTTGTTTAAAGAATGAAATAAATTTTTTAATAGCAGTTAACTTGGTATTTTGGTCAACCTTCAAAATGTGGGAGATATTTCCGCCACACCCTCTATATGAATATGTTATGCATGTGACTAATACTCACTCACATCTTTCTTTGGGAAACATCAAAGAGAGCATGCAGCTCAACATTGAAGGCATGTTTGTTTTGGGTTTTTTTAACATTTCACCCCAAGCAAGATGACAATGCCACTAAAATGTAGGATGAGGCGTATTGAGGAAAGGACAAAGAAAGAACAGAGTTCAAGAAGACAGAAAATGGAGACTGATGTTACTTTTAAATTTTTGAAGTTGTTATCAGGGAAGCAA